AACACCTTGAGGTCTGGGAGGTACACTGGGCAGTGCTAGCCCATATTACTACTATACAGAATGTGGATTCCATGGCCCCCACAGAAGAGATTCATTAGCCCAAGGACCTTTGGGCTACTGTGGGTCCCAAATAAGACAACTAAAAGACAAAACTCCCTCCTAGTTATGGACAATATTGTCCTGGGAAAAAAGGTAAATGAGGGGGAACACCGGTCCGGAATAGCCTTTGTGGATTGTAGATAATAATCAGATGAATAATATATAATCAATAAACAAAGAGGATGAAAAGCAAGTTAAAGTGAAAGAAAGTACTTGCCTTTGTTTTGGGGCTTTCTGACCATTTTGCTTTTGAATGAATGATGGAAGTTTATGGTGCCTTCTGAAACTGACATTAGCTATATTGGGCTCAAAGGTGGAATACATTGCATGCATAGGCAGGAGTGGTATCTGCTTCTGAAGTGTAAAAACAGAAAAAGAAACATTTTCTTGCATCACTTTGTGTATTCTGGAGCAATACAACCTAAAAATGAAAATAAATAAAAATGCTAATTTCATACTTTGTTGAGGTTAAAATTCAAAAGCAATTAAAACCTAACACCATGTTTTAAATGGCAACTTTTGGGACTCTTAACTTAAGGCTTTGAAATTGACTAGTAACAGCAGTGTAACTTTTTTTGTTTCATTTTGAACGAAGAAAAGAACTAATCAGAAGATCACAAGTCCATGTGTCCTTAAAAAACATGTCTTTGGGACCTCTTCTCTGCTATGAGTGCCAAATTTAGGGACATTTATCAATATACTTCATTAAATTTGTGCAAATAAAAGAAATTTGAGATGTTGGGAAAGGCATGCTAACATTGTGACATTGGACTTTTCCACTCAAGGAGGGACAAGGTTCTTTGATAAATCTGCAAAAAATCAATTGTATAAAGGGGAAAAAAAACTGTCTTGTTGCCATTCTTGTCTCCTCTTCTCCAGTCACACGGCTCTGTAAAAATTAAAGGAAAAGAAATTTAATCTGATACGATATACAACCAACTCTGTAAAAGTCTTTCGCTGTTTTTGCTTTCATGTTTAATTGGTACATGACAGTGAAATTGACATGTTTGGTAGAGCGAACTAATTTTGATTCCATTATTTTTGTTCTTTTTAACCTTTTTTTTGAAATTAAGTTACAGTTTGGATGTGAATCTTAGGGAGACAACGGAGTTAAAAGATGGATTCGAAAAGGTTGACTGAATAAAAAAAACTCTACTAAAATAAGTAAAAATTTGATTCGATTAATTTAAAATTTAATAGTATTTTTTGGGATATAATAATAATATTAAATCTATGAAAAGTTCGATTACATTATTGAATTGAACTTCAAAACTGGGCATATGAACTTCAGAGAGTCGGCCCAAGCTTGATTCGGTATACAAATGTGTTCTAGCAGACTAACTTTACAAGCTCATTAATTCGGTTTAACCTTTAAAACTCATGTTTAGAACTTTCTAAAAGACACCCATAATAAATTATAAAGTTATGATAATCATAAAAGCTTATCACTACGGTTTTTTCCTTATCTCACATTACTACCCACTGTCGATATGTCTTGTCTCCTTAACAAGATAAGGCTATGTGACAGCTATGATGACTCTCTCTTTTACGCCTCAAAGATATTTTTTCTCTCTAAATACCCTCCTCGTACATGGAAGAGGGATTTTCTTTTCTATTCTCCGAAGGAGTTGTTACTCTGCTACAATGTAGAGTCACCTAAGTCTCTCATACACACTCCCCCCTAATGCATACATGAGAAGCTTCTATAGAGCCTTGATCCATACCATGGTTGCTAGGAACACCTCTAAATTGACATATTTCACCTTCCATGAGACATATGTATGAACTTCCAACTATTCAAAATGTTTATTATATTTATAGAAAACATTTAATATTAAATTGAGAGTTAAAGTACTTTTACTTAAATTATTTTTTCGAAATATAAAAATAAAATTTAATTTTTATATCATACCTCATGGTCGAATTCAAGTTGATAAAATAAATTCAAGCCAAATTCAAACACCAGTGTTCGGGTTCAAGTCAGCATGATTCTATTCTACTCCCTTTATTCCACTCCCCTCAATTAAAATATCAAATATTCATTCTTCTAAATAATACATGCTTTGATACTACTAAACTTGATAATAATATGAAAATCACAACACATTAACAAGTTTTGAGCATGAAAAATAAGCAACAATTTGTACTACCTTTTTTTTTTAATTTTAATGAAGAAAAGGTAAATTGTACTACCAACCAAGTGTTGCCTTTGAATCAAAAATAGACAAAAACAAGTTTTTTTTTTTTTTGATACATAGACAAAAATAAGTTACTATCAAACTTTTCAGTATAATTGATTTACACATAATTTTATGCATGCATAAAATTATACTTTTTTCTTTTGGATATTCGACCCTCTCTTTCCCCTGACTGCTTCCAACACCCTTAGAATTCATCAAAAGCAGAGATTGTAAAGGAGCCAGGAATAATATTGCATATTTTCATTTTCGCTAACCTAACATAAAATAAGGAGAAATATTATTAAGATATTTTTTTAGTACATATTATCTTATTGGATCACGTCTAACGCTTGCTTAATAATTAAAATATGATAATTTTAAGAAAAAAAAGTGAGTGATTTAATAATAAAGAGTATGTTAAAATTTTACCAAAAAAAAAAGAGTATGTTAAAATGAGTATTACAAAAAAAGGTCCTTTGGTAGCCTTTTTTAAGATAAGATGATACTTAAAATATGTTTAATTTACCCTTTTGTGTCTTAATTCTTTTAATTAATGGATGTGCGGTAAAGTTTTCAGGGAATACAACTAGTATTAGGGTTTAATTAATTTAATAAGGATACAATGTGGATGATTAAAATATACCACTAATTACAGTTTAGTTACCTTTCAAAAACAAACTTCACCAATTGACAATTTTATAAGGATACTTGCAAAGGAAAAAAAAAAACTTACAACAATAAAGTTTGATACAGTTGATAAATGACCGAGTTCCTTAATATGCTAACAGGGAGTCGATCTCTGACCGTGTGTGTGGATAAATGCTTTGTTGATAAAGACAAAACCTACTTCGGTGTTTTTTGCGCTTCAAAAAAATTAGCCTTTAACTGTTGACCGGGGGATACCTTGAGGAAATTAAAAAAAAAAATCTTACAATATCTTTTTTCATTTAACCTTTCATGTAGTTTCATATTGGTTAAGGACAAATTAAATAATGTCTATATAAGTGGAGTGATCTATCAACCTAATATCTTAAGATATTGACTTAATATATAATGTCTATATTTATTGTGGTAGGCTAGCTTAGCGCATTAGTATTAATTATTTTCTGTTTTAGATTTCCTATTAACTTATTTAACAAGGAAAAAATGTTTGTCCTTTTAAATGATACAACTTGTGTTATTTCACTCACATTAAAAAATGAGACCCACGTCTTTATTTTTTTTGCCCACTCTCTCCCCATGATCTATCTCTTTTTCTCACTTAAAATGACATAATTTTACATCCTTTAAAATGATACACACTCTCATCATCTAACAATGATGTTAGAGTCGTTGGTTTGACTTAAAACAACAAATGTGATGAGAGTTTTGTTTGAAGAATATGTTGGGATGAGGTCCCTCAAATTCAACGCAGAAGTAGTTAGTAGGTCAGAACGTCAAGTTCGGAGCTCGGCACTTACATATTGGCCAATACGTAAAAACAAATAAATGCAGAGAAAGAGAAAACAGAGAGGAAACATAACAAGTATTTATTGAGGTAATTGAATAGACATTGAGCCTAGGGATGGCAAAAACGGGTTGGCTCGTAACCCGCTAAAAATGAGCCGGGTTGGGTTGGTAAAAATGAGTTGACAGAAAAAAAATGAGTCAACCCGCGAGTCAAACAAGTTAGCTCGCGGGATAAGGTTTTTTTTTTTAATTAAAAAAAGGGAAATTATTTTCTTATGTAATAGGAGATAGTTTTCTCATGTTGCGAGACATCGAAATTCGTGCTATCTTTTTAGTTTTTTCTTCTTTTTTAGTAAGTGGTGGGCCCCGCCACTTATTGTGTCTATGACATGAGAGATGATATCTCATGTGACATGAGAAAAGAGAAGCCCTTAAAAAAATATCATAGAGGCAAAGAGTCAGAGACCTACACCGTCACTTTCTTTCTTTCTTCCTTCTCACTTCTCGCGACTTTTCAAATCTCTCACATTTGAACCAGCAGTCACTCTCAAGTGTAGAAGTTTGTTCGCTTCTCCATGAATTCAGTTCGTTTTTCTATGAACCTCCCATTTGAAGTTTTGAACCTACACTGCAATCTGTTGGGAATGGAACGAGGGAGCCCAAAACCCATTGCAAGGGATACAACCATGGGCTAAAATGACAAACCATAATAAGTGGGCCGACACCACATCTCAACCCAAAACCTTAAGGCTGTAGGTTTATGGGTCTTTTTGCACTTATATAGTCATCACTTGGTCTATGTCTTAGTCGATGTGGTACTTCTTTATAACTCATACTTGAATACTTCCAACATCTTCCCCTCAAGTATGAGACCCAACATTATGCTCCCCCTTAAGGGCAACTTCTGCGGAAGTCTTTTTTCTTTAAGTATTGGAGTCACACTAGCCTTCTGCGGAGGCCTTGAAACATCACCATCTCTAAATACCCGGCCCAGCCAAACCTTTGGCTCTGATACCACTGTTAAGAATGGTATGGGGGAGCCCAAAACCCATTGCAAGGGATACAACCATGGGCTAAAATGACAAACCATAATAAGTGGGCCGACACCACATCTCAACCCAAAACCTTAAGGCTGTAGGTTTATGGGTCTTTTGCAGTTATATGGTCATCACTTGGTCTATGTCTAGCCTATGTGGATCTTATTTCACCACCACTCACTCACACTTGATTATTTCCAACATCCTCCTTTAAGTGTGAGGCCCATTATCATTCTTACTCTAAGGTCAACTTCGACAAGTGCTTCTCCCCAACCATACAAATTGGACAAGCTGGATCATAACTATCAGCTTCTGGTGTCATAGTCTCCAAGCATTCTGCATGATACACATGACCACAGACAAGTACAACAACAACTGAGAGGTTACTGCTGCCAATAAATTTCTGGTTGCCCCATGCAGATCTCTCATTCAAGAGCCTGGAGCAAGCCCCACAAGATTGTAAATCCATGGAGGGAGAATACGAGAACCTGCTACTAGTTCCACTTATCTTGAGACGACCTGAACCTAAATACTCACTGTCAAAAGACCACCGTTCCTTTTGAGAAGAGGCCACCAGCTCAGAAAAGGTGCGCATAGACCAGCCATCAGATGACCCACACTGGGATCCAGTTGCCATGTCATTGCTGCATGTAGAGAGTACAAATGATGGCCTTCCCTCAGAAATTGAGTTGTCAGGTGATTTCAGACCCAGGATTTGACTATCAGAAATTTGTCTCAACAGTGGGTGTCCTGGAGATCGATGAGCCCATCTTGATGCCATTGGATTAGGAAGATTGTGATAATTATGATTAGGAATGGGATCTGTTGTAGGGGTTGAGTAAACTAAAGGTATTGAAAATAAAAGATTTGGTATTGAAGATTCTGCAATTTCTGGTGATTCTACAAGATTCTTCACCATTGTAGAACAATTACTTGACATGGATAGATCTGAAGATGGAGTCATCTGATTTACAACCAACTGATCATGAACAGGGGATTTCTGAGACATAGGTGTTACAGAAATCTCCAGGGTGCTCCCACCATCAGACAAATTACCTCTTTCAGAACTCAAAGACCCTTTTAACTCCATGCTAACATTTCTGCTGACTCTGTGAGATGTGTTGAAGGAAGGATTCTCGATTTCACCAGTAACACGACCCCAACTATCCCATCGAAAGCTCCAAGATGGTGAACACGCAACATTTCTATGTAAACTTTCACCTCCAGTTCTGTTGGGAAGAGTGTGATCCTTTGCAGCAACACAACAAGCTGATCCCATGATAACAGGAACGTTACAGTAGATAACTCAAAAACCACCTCAAATTTCCAACGAGAATATGTACTCCTACCTCCTTCTCTTCAATTCAAAACAGAGAGTTTCAGAGAAAAAGGGGAAATCATTTCGAAGTCGTCATTTTCGGCTTCGGCTTCGGCTTCGGCTTCATAGTGGTCATGCACAGTGTACGGTGCTTTTTGTAACGCCGTCTCTGTTTAAGGCTTCGGACTTTAGCTTCGACTGTCATCACGGAGTTATATCACAGACAGTGGGAAAGGGAACGCTGAATAACATGTTTTCTTCCCCGCTTTATTTTTTTTGTCTCTGTTGGGAATGGAACGAGGGAGCCCAAAACCCATTGCAAGGGATACAACCATGGGCTAAAATGACAAACCATAATAAGTGGGCCGACACCACATCTCAACCCAAAACCTTAAGGCTGTAGGTTTATGGGTCTTTTTGCACTTATATAGTCATCACTTGGTCTATGTCTTAGTCGATGTGGTACTTCTTTATAACTCATACTTGAATACTTCCAACACAATCACTCGCGGCTTTCCAAATCTCTCACTTTCTTGCTTGATGGGTTCTTATTCCTTCAGGTCTCTATTTGTTGTCCATGATTCACTTTTGATATTGGCTTGCATCAAAGAGAACTATGACAAGGTTAAGTGTTGGCAAGGAGAGATTATACAAGTTCCAGAGAAATGGGCTTCATTTGATGTTGTGTTCCATTATTTCCTACCTGCTTTGCACTTCAAACTTGACCAAATTCTGGGGTCTTTGGCTAAAAAAATTGGTAAAAAAAAATTAATAAATGAAGGAAATTTCTTAGTTATCCACTAGGAGGTTGGTACTCAGTAATAAATGATATATGTATTCTAAAAAATGAGCTGAAATTGGTTTTCAAAATGAGTCAACTCGCGAACTATTTTTTGAGCCAAATCGTGAGTCATTTTTCCGAGTCAACCCGCGAGCCATGTTTTCGAGTCAACCCGCAAGCCAACCCTAACCCGGCTCGGGTCGGGTTGGGTTGGGTTTTCTGGCTTATTTTTTTTTCGAGCTAACCCTAATCTGACTCGTTTTTTTCAGGCTGAAAGCAGGTTGGGCCGGGTCGAGTCGGGTTGACCCGTTTTACCAACCCTAATTGAGCCATCCACCTATAAATTTGGTGCATGATCAACCACCAACATTAAAGACAAGAACACACCCCAACAGAATACTTATAAAGAATTAAAACTAAAATAGAGGTGATGGAATAATGTATTAAAATAATCAGGTAAAAAGCAATTGGATATAGTTGCTTGTTCAATTTGAAGTGTTTTTTTTCCAACGGAGGCCAGCCCATTATTTTAACCATGTCTACACCATCCATAAGCAAAGCAGTGGGAGTGAGCTTGCTTCTCTGGCGCCTATAGCCTTTTATCTCTCTAGCGTATGGTTATGTTCTGTAGGTTACCTCGTTAGCAAAACTTAAAACCCGCATGAGAATACCAAGGTTCGATTACAAGGCTAGATGAAAATGTTAAAAATGAATCTATATTTTTAGAGGATTTATTCATTCTCATATCATAGGAGATAAATTTATCTCTTACACACTCATAGAAATATATGAGATTCATATTTTCTCTTTCTTTCTCTTTTCCTAGAGATAAATTTTACATATATGTTTGTTATCTACAACATAACAAACATTAAACCCATCTTTGGATGTGAAAAGGCCTCAAACTGTTATGCAATTATTATCCCAACTAGAGCTGCAGACTGAAAGGTTAGAAGTAGAAACAATTGTCCAGACCCATCATGAACGGAATTACAGGCGTGCATTGGCAAACACGGGTCCAATGACATAAAAATAATACTCGTTTGTACACACACATTAAGAATTTAAGAATAAAGAAAATCTTAGGGACAAAAGGACATAAATGCTGCGCATGTGTGGTTTTAGGGAGTATAATATTGGTGGCAACCTTGCTTCATCGTATGGGAAGAATTTCATAAACATTCTATTTTTATATTCCATTAACCATCATACTCCCCTCACGTGTGTCTCACTTCCTTTCGAGGTTCACACCTGTCTCTAATCCATCTCTTTCCTTAACATTCTCACCTTTCTTACGGTAACTCTCTCAATTATTTTTTGAAGCCCCACATTTTTTTTATGAAAATTTATACTCTCTTGTTGTATCATGAAATTCATGTTTCATGTTACAGTCATATAAAAAGATGTGTTTTTCTTCTTCTTTTTTAAAAAAGAATTAGTGAATCTCATTTTATTTGTCTCATAACATAAGATAATTTAACTTCTACTACATAAGAAAAATAAAATCCCTTTATATATATGTATTAGATTATATAAAGAAGAATAAACCAGAATTACTTCATATTTTATGGATTTCCAACCTTCTGAATCAACCCAATATGTGGAAAATAATAGTTAATCTCAAAAGCAAACCGGTTCCACCCCGAAAATTAATCAAGATATTTTTTGTCGCATCTGTCCCAACAATAGTCAATAGGCCAATAATGCTGATGAAGCAAAGCAGACACTCCATATTTGATATTTCTGTTCAGTCCTTGGACCGTTATAGCATCCGTGTGAATAATCTAGATATATATCATTTTAGTTTAGAGAAAAAGGACCCCAAGTGTTTAGCAAGATGTATTTTTTTAATACCCATTTAATTATTTTTTTGAGACGAGTAATATAACATTTTTATAAATTTTAATTCTTTGAATTGATTATGAGATTAAATCTGAATCGGACCTTATTTATGGTCAAAAATTTTCAACAAAGAACAATTAACGGAGATTAATGGATTTTGTCATAGTCATGCTTCTTTCTCTTTCAATCATTTGGCACTTTAAGAAGGGGAACTCATATGTATATGTTTTTTTTGTTTTTTTTGTTTTTTTTGCGTGTCTTAAATGATATGTGCTTATAGTTTATATTTATTGCATGGACAAGATCACATTTTGTATTATAATTTTTTTCTTTAGTTCCTTTTTTCCATATGGATATCAATGTGGCATTATTATTGAGTAAAGTTGTACCATGACATTTCCAACTAAATATAATGTCTTTAACTTACTAGTTACCTTTTAGCATACCAAACATTAAACAATGATCACTTGTCACTATGAGGAGTAAATGAGTAGCTGGAAGTGCTTTGCCTGGAAGAGTAATGTCTTCATAAGCCTTTCACGTGATGGGGAAAAATGTTTAAAAGTTCATAGGTTATCTAGGTTTATTTGTTTATATGCAAATTCAAAGTTTTGGTGGGTCATCTATAACTGTACACACAACACAATGGCCACCACTATATCCTTGAAAATGGTGGAGAATCATAGGCTGTAACGCAGCAGTGCAAAATGTGCAATATTGGGATGTGTTGTGTCTGTGGAATAGATTAGGGCTCCACCACACGCACTTCCCCCCTTCTTTTTGGTTTGCTTTGGAAACTCCCACCTCCACCACTATCAAGCATCATCAATCTCAACTCGAACATGCCATTTTCTTGTCCACAACCATGAGCACAAGTGAAACACACACATTATTTTAATTCATGGAGACAAAAACAAATCCCAAAGCCCAAAAAAAACCAGTCCTGCCCATCATCCAACATATCTTTATCCTTAATCCACTACACATCTTTTATGTGATGAAAATAGGTAAATTGCAAAACATATGTGTAGCGCCCATGCCTCTGAGAAAAACAAATCCCACTAAAATGACAATTCTATGTCAAAAGAAATAATTTATTTGTCTATGTGAAAATAAATAATATTTTTTGGAATTTTTCGATATATCCCCCGATTATTCGACTAATCCGATTTAAGTACTATTAGACTCATTATAGGAACTGTTCTCCCACACTATTTTCGTGATTCGAAATTTTACCTATTTTTATGTCTGTAAAGAAGTTTTATGCAAAAAAATATGTTTGATAATAAATTTTTTCTTTATTCTTAGAAATAAAAGTATATTTGATGATATAATAAAAATAATTTTTTATTTTTGAAATATTATAGATTTATCATTCAATGGGCATAAAATGATCAAATAACATAAGATTATAACTAGAATTTCATATTTAATAAATAAATATTATCCAAAATAAATATAAAATTTATCTCATGAAAATATCAAGATATATATAAAAATACAACCCATTTTTATAATATCATATTATTATTATAAATAAAAAATAAGAAAAATATGTCCACATATATTACATGAGACAACTCATTTTTTATTATATCAAATCATTTTTGCATGAGATATGCCAGATATGTTTGAGAATGAATATAAAATAATGCGAACATAAAATTATGTGAATAAGAAATTTAAAATAAAAAATAATATTATATTATACCAAAAATATAATAAAGCTTTAACATATTTGAAATATCTCATAATAATTTGTATGGTTATAAATTCAAAATTTGAGGTAAGTGATTGTTTCTCTCTTAATGATTTAGTGCATTAAATGTGGCATGGAACTTTGAGAGAATGTAATTAAAGAAGAGTAATTTAAGTGTTGGGATTAGTGGCATAGCCGGTTTATAAAGAATTGAGGTCTCGCATGAAATATATATATATATATATATATATATATATATATATATAAGGATTTACATTTTTGCAGTTGCTGTATGTGTAATAATTAAATACTTGCCATATATATACTTGAAAGCATTAAATGCGGGGAATCATAATCATACAAAGAATGAAAGTATTAAATGTGGAAAATCATAACCATACACCTGTCGTTGCTGTACATAAAGTGGCTGCAAAAATGATTTTACCATATATATACATATATATATATATGAGGTTTATATTTCTGCAGATGTTGTACGTGTAACAGTCAAATATTTGTCATATATATACGTGAAAGCATTAAATGTGAAGAATTATAACCATTCAAAAGACTAAAGTATTAAATGTGGGAAATTATAACCTTACACACGTCCTTGCTATAAGTAAAACAGCTGTAGACTCTGAAACACGGACTCGTTCTTTTTTTGTGAATTGTGCGTGTCGGACACGTGTCGACACGGACACGCTCCGACACGCGG